GGGGCGGAAAAATGGCTGCGGACCACGTGTCAGAGGCGGAAAATGGCCGTGGACCGTGTCACGGGAGGGAAAATGGCCACATATCCTGTTCGTACCCCGAGGTGGAGTGGTTCGCAAACCGAAGCAAAATTTTGCAGCCGGAGCTGGTCGTAACCTGAAAAGTTCATTAACAGAAGCGTTTGTAACCCGAGGTTCCACTGTATATCAAATTAACGCAGATTGTAAAGTGGACAAAACCAGTTCTTAAACATAATTCAGATAAAATACTTGGCAAGACAACTGCCTATTATTGACCCCGAAATAATATAATTATAGGGTTTGTGTTTGGTTTTTATCAATTCTACATAGAGTTTCCTACTATCTTCTATAAAATAATACTTAGAATGGCAGATATAAAAGCAAGAAGCTTTGATTACACAGCCAAAAGATGCAAAAAGTAATTTTTGAATCTTCAGGATTGCTTTTGGAGTGTGTATGTGTGTGTGAGACAGAGACACCATGAAAATGCTTCCTTGAACTGTATCACTCAGCCCAATGAACAAATATGATTCTGCAAGAGGAGGATGAGGAAAATTAATTAAGCAAGCTGACATAAATAATTCATTCCAAGATAATTTTTTTAAATCTATCCATCTATAACAATAATTCCAGAAGTGAAAAAAAAGTTATATCTATAATTGGCTCTGTCACTGGAACATTTTTCTCCAGTCTTAAACACCCTAGGTGTACTGGTCTTCAACATTATTATAATTTCTAGCCAGCACAGACAAAGAATTTATAGAGTTAAAAGTCCAACATATCTGGAGCACATCCCATAAGGAAAGACTGGACTAGGATCATTTGTATGAAATACAGTAGTAGTTTCATAGATGATGACATGAGCAACAGATAAATGTAATCATGGAAGTAATTTCGGCTACATGTTCAGTAGCTCTTGAGCTAAATCTCCAAATAATTTTCTAAATGCAAAGAGCTTTAACAATGAGTAGGTCTCTAGTATGTTACTAGTTTATGAGGTGCATTATTAGCAAAAACATGATTTACATATGCACAAAACCTCTGATACATAAATGAATCTCCATGGGGTCAAGTGCTTCCCATTCTCTTCTGCGTCAAGGATGCCTGGGTGGAGCTCTCCCCCATACTGAAGTGAACATTTAAAAAAGCTCTATATTTGCAAGCATTCATTTGCCAACAATGGACTGATGGAAAGAGGTATGTGTTAAATCCGGGAACAGAACATTTTGAAAAACTCAGTTCAGCTTCTCCTATAGGCCATACCAAACCAGCCACTCTGAGGGTGATCCAGTAGTTTTCTTGTTGTTAATCCTCCAAAGTAGAAGCTTTGATCCAATTATGCTGAGTTGGATGCTCTAGGGCTGGTCTGGCAATTTTATAGAAGTTTTTACAGATAATCACGCATCCATAATGACCAAATCTGTTGTTCTGGAGGGGGACTAGAAAGTTCTCAGTTTTCTCTGGAACATTCCACTCCTGGAAGAGTAGGTATTGCACATCCCTCCCCTTGTTGCAAACATCTACCTAAAAAGTAACTAACCAAAGCAAAATAAGCTTCAGAAGCACCCTTTAAACAATGGCAACGTGACATTTCTAAGTTTATATGGCAAGGGAA